GGTGATATTTTCCTTAGAAACCATCTTGGCATAGCATTTTCTGCTTGTCCTGCCTCCTTTTTTTCTTCCCTTTTTTTTTTTTTAGTTTGCTTTGAGTGAAGAAGCCTGAGGTGGGCCTCAGGGCTTCTCCATTGCTGTCAGGGTCATTTGGCTCCATCGAGGTTCAAGTAAAGGGGTTTGCAGGAGTTGGAAGTGGAGGTGGGCGATGTTACTGTCCTCTGATGGTCCTTCACAGAAAAGAACCGTTGCAAAAATAATTATCATTTGCCACCAGGTGTTGTTCCACAAGTAGATAAGCAAAAAGCCTGGCGTAAAAACCCCATGGCAGCTGTGGGAGTGGTTGAAAAACTGGTGTTTGTAGGCATGTGGCACATGGGCTTGTGACTACACGGTGTCACAAGCTTCAGTTTATCAGCTCACCAAAATCTGTGTATGCAATAAGACACCAAGTTCAGCTCAGAGGCACTGCTGTGGTTTTAGTTTCCCTGTGAAAATGGGAAACTTGCCCAAGGGAAAGCTTGGCAAATCTGCAATATCCTGTTCCAAAGGTTAAGGCAAGTCAGAAAAATCACTGACTTCTGACAGGTACCTGTGTTTTCCCACAGAAAAGGTTTCCAGCTTTGTTTCTGTGCAGGCATGTAGGTGTGTCCTTGCCTTTAAAAGTAGGTTGGAGCATCCACATTTTGACACATTTCCATGTCAGAATTCCAACTTTCCTTATCATGTGCTATTACAGTTGATTATAACATCTGTTTGCTAACTGGAATGGTAATAAAATCCAGCATTTAAAAAAAAAATATTTCCCCAGACTTTAAGAAAGCTTTAGAGTAGGGGTAGTAAAGCAGATGTTTTTATTTAAAATAGTATATAGGTGTACATGAAAATTGTGGAATTTTTTTTTCTGTACTTTCATTTTTATTGTCTTTCAGTAACTTGCCAAAGAGTTTAGAAGCAAGATTGTTTTTTTCCGACTGCAGTCCAGAAACTCACCATGAAATCTGGAAGTCAAGGTGAGATCCATCTGCCCAGTAGTCAAATGTTAGATCAGAAGGGAGAGCTTAAACACTGGTCCAGAACTAAACACAGTGGTTTCCCATATGACACTGGTATATTTTTTGTTAATCTCCATTTTTATGCTGTCATCATTTACTTACATAAACTTAAACAATAGATGCCACTGTTCCCATTGTAAAGCTGTTTAATTCACATATATATTCACATTTCCATAGAAATATGATGAGCATTAAGAACAATTTGCCTATATATCATCCTCTTTCTCACCATTCTAAGATATTTACCTTCAAAAGCCTGAAGAGAGACTCATGCAGGTAGGAAATGGAAAAAAAACCTCAAAAGCAACAAAAAAACAAACAGAAACTTTAGCCTGCATTTATAGGTATAAATGTTATCACTTTCTCTAACTGCCATATATGAAGAGTGGAACTGTATCTCATGCTTTTTACAGAAATAGCAAGTTTTTATAGCAATAAAAATAGAAAAAAAATAGCAAGCTTTTTACAAAATTAGCAACCTCTATAGAAGTTTTATTTACCTTGCCTATATTTTAAAGGTGGATGTTATGACCTGGGACTGTAAGTCAGCCATTGTATTTCTTTATAAGCTTTAAAGCAATGGACAGCTGTGTTTGACTAACTATAATCTTAATTTTTTGTCAACATGTATTCCTTAAATGCAGAATGATTGGACTAGTAGTAGCATCCTGTCACTAAATCAAAACAGCTTGCAGAAAAGTTCATACATTTATCTTCATGGTGATCCCAAAATCTTCATTAATGTCAGTGGACTTCCTTACAGAGGGAGGACTCACAAAACTGTTTTAATTAGCTTCGCATTTGAAAGCTTTCTTTGAAATGATGAAATTTAGGATACTTTTAAAATATAAAAATTAAAAAAATCTGCTGAATGTGCCGCCTCCATTGTAGTAATGCAACATTATGGATTCATTTGGAAATATGTATCTATACATATCTGAAATGTAAATATAATTCAAATTATTTATATGTCTATAAAAAGATATACAAAGTACTCTTGGGTTATATATTGATTTAAAAAAAACCCCAAACCACAAATTCATAGGGTTCAGAATGCAACAGGTCTCCAAATATTTTTGGAGATTTTTAGTATTTTCTGAGAACAGGATGATTCATGCAGCCTTCATTCTTTAGATGCAGGAAGGTAAGGGAGGTGATATTGTGGTATTATCTTTTGTGCTGGAAGAATCGCACTGTTTTGCTTATTTGCATCTGGGTAGCAGAAAATTATTTCTATTTATTTCTCTTTCTTTGCTAAGGTTTTCCTGGGTCTGGGTTTTCAATTCCCAAAACCGCTCTGGTGAATGATTCACTTTGACATTGCTGCCCTCCAGCGGTTTTATTAAGGTTTCCAGCTATTCAGGAAAGCCTTTAAAAACAAACGCTTTATTCAATCTTTGTTCTGATCAGGGAGTTGGACAGGTAAAAATACTTCCATCTCAATCTAGCACATTCTCTTAGCAGTGTGTTTACCAGTGGTAAAGTGTGTTTATTCACTACACTGCCAAAACTATGTATGATCCTGTAATTATTGCAGATGCAGCCGAGCAGGTGTCACTGGAATTGATTCACCTTTGGGTGAACTGAGTCACCTTTGCATGTTACCATGTGCATCTTGAAGATGAGCTAGAAACAGCATCCACAGTCTTTAAAACACAAGTAAAATTTGCAGACATGGAAAATGGAGAAATAACCTTTCAGGTTTAGGTGAAAAATGCCAAACAGCTCAGTTTCTATGAGCTGGCTTCTCACACTGCACTGCTTCCTTGTCCTGCCAAAGCTGTTTTTTATTTCACATGCCCTAATTAGTTTAAAGACTATCAGTTTCTTACAGATCTTGCCTCCTCTTCCGTACTTCTATAATCTCCAGTTCTCTTGGACACAGTCTGAAATAACCTGCGACTGGCAGTTCCACCTGGGTATTCTTCATTATTTTCTCTCTCAGCATCTTGTGTGGTGTTATTTTGTGGCTGTCTCCCTTGTGAGTCATCCCTTTCGCTTGCTTCCAGTTTACACCATCTGACTTTAAGGCTTTTTTTTTGTTTCCCACAACTCTCTCCTGTATCTACAAGTCCGTCCCTCATTAGAACATGTCAGCGGGCATTGCTGTGCTTCTGCTGCAACAGTGATGCTGTAATTTCACTTGAGCCATGTGGGATCTTATAGACCAGACACACCCAACATGTAGGAGAAGCATGTGGAAAATGCATACTCAAAGGAGCCAGTCATTCCTTTCCGACAGCGTTTGGGCAGATACATTGCTCTCTAATTAAGTTGGAAACGGGCTACGCCTCCATGCAGAGATCCAGCTGCAGGGTGCAGGGCTGCTGTGACACTGGGACTCTCAAGCAGATCAGAAGGGGCTCATACTCCATGTTCACCATCATGTTCGCAGGTCCTTGGGTCAGAGAGGGTTATTGGACTAAAGAGTCTGATCTCCTTTTGTCAAAGTCTATTGCATTTTGCCCAAAACAGTTTACCCAGTAATGTGTTTTGTTAAAATTAGTGGTTTTCGTTCTGTGCTCCACGACTGTCTAGGGGTCCACTGATTATTTGTAAGGAATCTATGAAAGCTAACAAGGAAAGCAGCCTAGCATTTGGCTTTTGCTTCCAGATATACCTTCATTCACCAAATTAAAAAATAAGGTTAACATTTTCATACTCCAGACTTTTTTCCCTATTGTCATAAATGCTCTTCTCAGTGCTTTTTTTTGGTAAATGAATCTGTTTCTTGGCACAGCATCTACGTGGTGGTGGACCTCAGCCTTCATCTCTCCAGATCGTAAAGACAAAGAGATTTAACTGACACTTAATAGTGTTCTTCTACCCTTCAGGGACATCACTGGGTACTCCATAACTACACTGCAGATTCCAGGTTTGCATAGAAATCTATACATGGCCCCTACCCTTGGGAGCTCCTGTCTGAGATCACCTACTTACTTTTTTTACCCTCCTATGACTTTCCTGGCTGGACTCATTCAACCAAGCCATGGCTAGCAGAAAAATGATGGCTTGGGCCTGTCCTGTGCTGTCCCAGTGCCTCAGTACTTTACCAGGCTTTTTCTCCTTGACTTGAAATCTTTTGCACAAGAAATTAAACACCTTTTTTCTTACCTTTATCTGGTAAGGTTTTTTTGTCAGCCTCCTGCCAGCAAGCTTTCAGACACAGTGTGTTTGCAGATATCCCCGTGCTCTCCTGGTTTGTGCATTGAGTGGATTAGTTCAAGGAGAAAATGCAATTAATTCCCTGGATGTCTGTAAAGTGA